ATATATGTTTCCACTTCTCTATTTCCCTCTGTAACTCTACATTCTTATACATAAATATTCATTTAAGTTTCTTCAATCATAACACTACTGTCACACTTCTTCCACCACCATGCTTGCTGGTCCTGCCCTCAGAGTAGTTTGGCAGCATTCACCTTTGCAACCATTTTCAGTGCTAAATGTCTCTCTTCATTTTAGTGCTTCTTCCCGATTACTCTTTGATGGTTCCTTTCAGTGTGTGTGGGTTTTCATGTCACCCATGCACTATACAGGGAGTCCACAAACCAAGGGAAGGCAGCACGTCCCCAAAACTAAAAGACGGTGTGTCAAAACTGGGAGCAACTTCCTTTTTTTGGTGCAAGGCAGCCAGGTAGCAACTGGATAGATTGAGTGACCTTAAAATACTTTCAAAAAATGAAATGGATATTTTGGATGAAACAGGAAAATCCCACATTGCAGCAGAGTCCTCTCCATAGAGGCCTGTATAGTCGGGTTTGCTCTAGGGGAAACAGCACTCTGCTCCGCATCCTGACTTCGTGTGGGCAGTGTGTACTCATGCCTGATTCTAGTTTTCTTTGAAAGAAAAGCTGGGTGCACTAGCAGGAGAGCACCACAACATGCTTTAAGCAGTCCCCACTTTTGAAGATTTGTTTTCACATCTAGTTCAATACACAAACAGATGAAAACTCGAAAAATGCATTGCCTCATTTACCTTTGTATTTGCTTGTCGCATGTAAATTAAAGATTTACTGTCTACTCACATTGTATTTCATTTAGATCTGTAAAAATTTCAGTCTGAGTAGACAGAATTATATAGATAACACTTTCTGCAAAACAGCAGCTGAGCAGATTTAAATAGCAGTTAGCACCTACATACAGAGAGACACTAGAATAATGTATAAAAATGCATAAAGGGGATCAGTACCTTGTTCAGACTGACTGACTTCAACATGGGTCATGTATCTAATCATTCAAACATCTAGAAGGACTTTAAAAAAGCATCTACTGCATTTCAGGGCAGCTAAACATCTTTGTAAATCTCATTCTATCTACATAGATTGTAATAAATCCTGTAGAACAAAGTCCTTAACTTGCCCTGTTTTTCCCCACATATGAGATCATAGTTTTTCTTAACTTATAAAAAACATTAATTGAAATGTAGCACTTGACATTTTCCCTCTGCTCTGTGCTTTACTCCCTGGGCAATCCCATTCACTTACTTATTGAGAAAGAGGATTCAAATAAAATAAAAAAAAAAAAGCAAAAAAAGCCTTGTTACACTGTAAAAAAAAAAAAAAAAAAATCCTAGAGCACTTCATTCACTGTATTAGTAGTAATGAAGTCTGTAATACAATCAGGGTACTGGGAAAGCTATATAGTAATAAAACGTATATGAATCATAACTGAAGATGCTTAACTGTTTCTTTTGGGGGGACACTTCTGATCAGATTCTGCAAGAATTTAGTCTTCGGTGTAGTACTGAGCATACTGATTTCAACTGATTTCTCAAAAAATCTCTTCCTTGCCTTCCCCATGCTCAAAAGAGCAACTAACCTTAACTTTTGATCATGTTAGTGGTGTCATAAAAAGCCATTATGAAACATGGTAAGCAATATCTTTGTAAAATAAGGGGAACATTAAGTTATAAACCTGTAAGGAGTCCATGCTATGTTATTTTTTCTGTTATAATGTCAGACTTGTACTATTCTCACTCTTGCAGCTTTTTCCTTCTTGAATGTGCCATAAATAAAGCAGATATAACTGAATGTATTGTCTTTGTATCCCATCTTACTTACTACATTAAGCTTGGTTTGGCTTCCACTGGTCATAAGATCTTCCTCTGATACTTTACTAAAATTGTCCAGATAATGGTCTGATATTGTATGAGACAGATCTTCAAAAGAGTATTCCTTTTCTTGGCACAATTTGATTTCATCTAAGAGCTTTGATAATTCTCCAGTCACAGCTTCACCTTTAAAAACAGACACACCATTAGTCAATAATTGGAATACCAGGGGTAATTTATGCCTAAAAAGGAAATGCACATTCTTTAAATTTTATTGAGTATCTGTTATATTCCATGCCTTATCATCTGAACAGTGATCTTCATATACAATTCTCCCCTCAAAAATAATGGCCTCTCATTCCAGAAGGGGAATCACTGGAGGCAATCTACATACTTCTGCATTCCCCTTCACCTTGCATTTAATTAGGATGAATTATGATACATACTTACACTTTCTCAGTTTGCTAATCCTGAAAAATGGCTAAAAACAGCAACTATCCAAGAATGTAAAAGTAATCCAGCAAAGGAAAGTTTCTACAAACATACAAAATCAGTGTCCCATACTCTGCATTGGGTTCATGTTTGCTGCTGTGATTAATTAATACACTACACAGGTTCCATAAACTGTAAATAGGTTGGCACTGAGTTTCCAAGAACACACACCTGTTCCAAAGTAGCTATGTTTTAGAAACAACTCTTGCTCACTTTCCCAGGATTAAATGGAATGGCAGAAGGATATACTGGGCAAAACTCACAAGTTTAAAACATGCCTCCTTACAGCAGTTTATCAGAAACCCATGTTTAGTGCATTCTGCATTGCGTTTCATGTTTTCTCCTTATTTATCAGATACCTTTAATTAAGAAATCTACCAAAATAGTAAGACAATGGGCTTTATATGTCTATACTAACTGAGGGCCACTATTAGAAATACTAGTAGTAATTAGTATTAAAAATCACATCGAGCGCTAACTTTTCGGCAAACAGCCCACTGGCAGCAGCAAGACCTCCAAGCTATTTGTTACAAACAATTGCCTTAGGTTCTGATAATCTAGTGCATGTGTGTCACACGTCTACCTTCAGCAATTGCAATGAAAATGTGAGTGAGAGCCAAGTTTTCCCAGTTTTCCTGACTAGGTTTGCATGAGTCCTATTGTTGGAAACTACAGTCCTTAGACTTGATAGAATACAGAGATAATTCCATTTTACTCCATCTTTGGGAATAAAATGCTGAAAAGGAAAAACAAGAGGGAGTATATTAAGCTCAGCATACATACAACACACATATGTACATGCATGTAACTAAAGAAGCCCCAGATAAAAAGAACTCTAACCCTAGCAGATATAATCTTACGTCATTTTTCTTCCTAGTCACTCTTTGTTATGCTACATCAACATAGGGATTCTAAAATATTTTTTAAATTACAACTATGATGGCCATTTATGACTGAGATTTTCAGAGGCAAAACCAGAAGTTATTAATTAAAAGAATCTAATTGCCTTTTAATATCTAAAATTTGCGTTCAAAACTCTAATTACTCTTAGTCAATGGTAACTTTGTGCAAAACTTGTAAATTAGACAAAGATATAATCTGTTTTATATTCTGCTTTTTAATTAGAAAATTGAAATTACTCCAGATTAACATTATAATAACTAAAAACTGCAAGTAGAATACCTAAACATTAAGCAATATTCTAGAATCATGATACAGTGCCCTAAAAAGAAACAGACTCCTCTTTCCTGCAGAATTATGTTCATGTTCCCAATCCCATGTTCTCCCACATATGGCCTGCAATATTTCTTACTGAGCAAGAATGAATTCTGTGTGACAAAACTGGAATTGCAATGGTGCTGACTGTCTTGCGTCTGCTTGACTGGCTCGCCGATTGCTACCAGAACAAACACATAAAAGAAGACAGATTTTGCCTATTTCTTTCAGTGCGAGTACTAATTAAGGTCTCCTCTATCTGACTACCCATTTTCATGAAAGTCACAGAAAAGTAATTGATACTGCTATCTCTCTTCCAAATTTGGTTTAAATTATTTGAAGTTAGATTGTCAACGAATGGAAGACACATGGATGGGAAGCACAATCAAGTACAATTTCTTTCCTTTAGAATCAGATTACACAACAGACAAGTAAAAGCCAACTAGCATGTTTTACAGTATTTATACTTTCAAAGTGGAAGCAAGGAACCTGAGATCATGACTTTATCATTAAAGAAGTAAAACATATTTTAAAAATATTTACTACTTAATTTCAGGACGGACATTTATATTGCATAGGGTAGTTGACTTCATAATTCTACTAATCTCAAAGGAACTATTTATCTTCATACATCATATGTCTGTTAAGTACCTCAATGGGAAACATGAATGGAACTAGAGCATTTGTTTACTATCACCATGAAGATCATAATCCGGTGTACAGCAGTAAGCTTAGTTTTCTCATGAATGAAAACTCTCCCTGTAAAGGTGTTTAAAAAAAAAAAAAATCCACACACACACCCCAAAAAACAAAGAGAGGCTTAGTTCTTTGCCAGTAGTCAATTACATCTACTTTGGATGATTACAGAAGGCAGAAGTCAAGTTTGGTTCTACAGGCGGATGACTTTCATGGAAGAGCAGGACAACACCACACTTAGGAAATGCCCTATTTAAGTGGCTGTGGTGTGTAAAGGGTGAATCAGAACATAAGATGGAAGCACGTGCACACAAAAGGGATAGTCACAGTATATGAAAGATGTGTTAGAAGATGAATGGAAGAGCAGTGAACACATGATCTTTGAAAGAGGCATCCAAGTGTAATACAATTGGGAGAGGTACTCACTGGGAAAGACAAAGTAAATTCAATCTTTAACTTGAATGCAAACAATGTCTGCAGAGTATTTTGAAAAATCTAGTATACTTTTACTTAATTATGAAATATGTAAGGTCAGATAAATTAAAAAGATTTAAGATCAAATAATGTAATACATTGTAATCCATCAGTGACTTGTCCTTTCTGAGAATACAGTTCTTTGCTTTCCTATATGACATGGATTACAGTGTACATGGTCAAGATAGGTAATTCATGGAGGAAAAAAGCTTCTCAATATCAGCAACTTTCTTAATCTCTCTTTTTCATTTTGTATGTTTGTATGAATGTTTTAGCAATATAATGTTAATATTAAAGAGAAGTTCAGTACAGCTTTGGTATTCACAGAGCACATGTATTTACTTTTAGCCTTTGGAGACGGAGGAACTTCTGGGGACAAAATGCAAGACTGATGTTCTGCGCATTCCAGTGGACGTTCCTCTGAAATACTTGCATTTCCTGTTTCCATATATTCTGCAATTTAAAGATACACATACACTTAAACTCCTGAATTAATGGGGTTTACTCCAATCAAAAGTATATTTGCAACTACCCCTTTCATTAAAGCCTTTCCAATTTTTCATATTACAACCTTGTAATTATTCATAAATACTGCTGCAAGGCAATCATTTATGGAAAGCATTATAAAACACTATAATGGCCGGTTCTTTAATCTGCTGAAACTGTTAAAGAAATCTCATTGTAGGAGTAATGAGTTGCAACTTTCCCAGTGTTTTTCCTGTCTGCTTGAAATATCTATGTAACTGTTCCATTATATTATTCCTGTTGAGTCTTCTTTTGTTCTAAATTTAAGAGTTTTTAGTCAAGATATTCAGGATGTTCACAATAAGTAGATATATTGATACCGTTAAGAAAACTAAGTATTCTGCTTGCAGCACAGAGATAGTACATGAGAAAAAAAGAATGTAATCTCAAAAATTTAGTTAAAACTAGCAGCCTAAAAAGCAGTGTTCTAAAATTTTTGTGCTTTTCCTCCTTAAAAATTCCCTTGTTCCACCTTCATGATGATGTTTATAAAAGAGAAACATGGAATGATGAACATGTTAAACTTCAATTTCATTACTATTTTTGTGTAAATATACACATTATTTTCATGTGCTTTTGTACACAGGCTAGCTCAATGGAACACCAAGACCTTAATGAATGTTACTGCAGGATACCTAATAAATTAGAAATTAATTTATGCAACAGTGGTGCTTTTTTCCATCAGAGTGACTGGTTCTCAGTTCAGGCAGTTATTCTTCATCTGTATATTCTTGATTTTCTGAAGTTGCTTAAACAAGTTCTTTCTGATACCAAATAGCAACCACAATAGTACATGTTGCAACGCACACAAAAGCAAACTACAGTAACTGCTTTCATCAATTTCACACGGAAGAACTAAAGAGTTTCTGGGAAGTGAAATCTCCCCGATTTAATTCCTACAGTCTACAACGCACTTGTTTAGCTTGCTGTTATTCCTGATTAAATAACAAATCCCGAGACCCAAATACAATCTGTGGCAGAATAGACATCTGAGAAAATGAAATTGGAAATGGTAGAGAACAGCATGCAGCTTCAGAATGCTTTGCAGGTTGTTGCTTTTTTTAAAAAGAATGTATGATTTGAAAATGTCATATATTAAGTTTGATGGCTGGCAATGGTCCCCTGAATAATCTGTCATACATTTCTTCACATGAAAAGGGGCACTTCTGTTTTTTGTGTAGTACTGAAAGCAAAGAAGAGCTGTAAGAGACCATGAGAAAACCAGCAGCATGACAAAATGCTCTGGAATGTTTTCCAGCTGTCAGCTATATTATTTGTCAAGTTAACATGCAAGATGGAGGAGAAATAAAAAGGAAGCTAGACCAAATGAAAAATAAAAGGAAAGAAGGAATTTGTGCCTGAAAATATTGCTTTGCTAATTGTGCAAATTCCCAAAAGCAAACCCCAAATGAAGTTCTACCAGGTGGGAGCATTAAAATTATTGGATCAATACAGATATTTTTAGGAAAGGAAACGCAGGGCAGATTGTGAAGGACTTTTAACCTTGCTATCCAATATTCATATGACTGTGGTTTTAAAATAATACTCTATTTTTATTCTTTGTCGGGCCTCACTTTCAGAACAACACACTTACCTGCTAAAGGCTAGTTCTAAGGAGGAAATCCCAAGTTCAATGTAAGTCTTTATAAATACTTACTTTAAAAACTGCAGTTTCTTCCAGAAAACCTCTACAAAAAGCTCAGCACAAGGTATGGTGTAGAGGTTTAGAGTGGGCCAACAGTGTGCCACCCTTGTAAGAGTTCAACCCTCAAAACTTTGGACTTCTGTGGGACTTTTACTCCTAACTTGGTTTTATACTATTGAAAATTCTACCGCATATAGCCAAGACAAATAATGGTTTGGACTCAGTTGTGAGAGGATTATAGTCTAAGTAAATGTAGACTTACCCATATTGTCAAAGAAACAGACACAAAACAGGTGATCTATGTCAAGAGCCACAGACAAGCAGTGGGTGCTTTCACCAGCAACCAAATTCTATTCACCTGCAGCTGGCTAGAAATTCATCTTCAAAGACTGTTCAAACTTATTGAAAAAGATGATACTGTTACCATCATCTACTCTGACTACAGTGTACTTGAGACACTGCTCTGTATTCTATCACTTTCCTCAAAAAAAAGAAAGATAATTCCAAACAAAGCCGGAATTAGTCAATTATACCACTTAATAACCAGAACAGTTTCCCCAGCTGTGGTCTCACAGAGTTTAGAGAAAAGCCTGTCATTCTTATGATAGGCGAGAGCAAAGGCTGTTTAGGACATGACCAGTCAGATTCATGACGCTGCCTTCACCAGCTTACTGTCACCCTGTTCCATGTTTCCAAGACAGCTGGCATGACTAGCATGTAAGGGGCGAAGCAAGCATATGTTAATACACACTGAAGAGATGTTTCCTCACCATACTGCTTTGTGAAGAACGGAGTATTTTACTTCTGTTGGCTTCAACGTCAGACTACAGTTCAGTGAGGATTAATACAAAGAATCTCAAAAATCTTGCCTGCTTAGTAGCATTCTTTTCTACAGTTATCTGATTTTAACATAGCCCCACTCAATCTAAACTGGGCCACGTGCACAAAACATAACAACATAAAAGTGGTCACACAGAGTGGAAAATGAGACCAGTGGAGAACACGAACTCAAGAAGGTAACAAGCACTGGAGTGTTCACACTGGTGGAACTCCAGCTTTCTCAGTTTTTGTAACACCAGTTAGGACAAAGCCAAGCAGAAGGGAAAGCATTAACATGTAAACAGGGAAACACAGCTGCCTCTCTGCAGAGTGGCCAGAGCTAGGAAGGTCTGCCACGAAGAGAACGTGGCCCAGCTCAGTGGGAGCTGCTGTTGAACTTCCAGGGATGGTAAACGCTCAGGCTCTAGAGCACAGCTTGCTTTAACTCCAGCTCCTCTAGGTCTTAATTCCTCAGTGAGGTGAGAGGGTCAAGATTTTTCCTTTATTTATAAACCTTGGCTTTTAAAGTAATGGATACATTAGCCTCAGAGAACTTACTTCTTCTTTTAATCAAAAAAAACCCAAACAACTTTTTTTTGGTTAAATGAAGTACGAGCTCCTTTCCCCTTCTTTTTGAGATCCTACTTTGGCCATGCCATGGGATGGATTTGCATAGAGTCCCTCCCTAGAGGGACTTCCTCTAAAGAGACCAGAAGGCTTTTTAAGCTCTAAAAAAGCCAAATTCAAGTAGAATAAAAATCTGAACACTTACCTTTTCAAACAGAAGACTCTCCAAGTAACCAGATCAGAGGAATAATACTGGCTTAAAAACTACTCCCCTCCATGTCCCTACAGGGGGATCCTTACTCCTGCCTCACTTTGTGTCTTCCTGAAGGGCAGCAGTCCTCAAAGCACCCTCTGCCCTCCCCAGCACACTCCAGCATCTGGCTGAGGATCCTGCAGCTTCATTAATTCCTGCCCCAGCCCATGAGCTCTTTAAAAGCTCCTCCCAAAACAGCTCACTTGCTCTCCTGGGAAGGACCCCACCTGAAGCATCATGACCCAGTTCCTCTTCTCTTTACAGCAACAACAGTTACAGAAAACCAACTGGTAACTGCTACCTTCAAGCGTGCTCAGGTGACAGACTTGAGATGGAGGCTGGGTTGACATCAGTCTCCTAAATTTCAGAGGACAATTCTGAATTACTCAAGTTTGACTTAATCGCAGAGAAACTTGCTATCAGTAGATGTTTAAGTTATAGGCATGTAGGGAGACTTTTCTGCATGTGTTCAGGGAAGATAAACAGAAATCCTGAGATAGGTAAGGGTGCAGCTAAACTTTCAATCCCCGAAACAACAGCAGTTAGATTAATTCATAAACATAGTTAATGCTCTAGAGCTTTTGCACAATAACCTATAAAAGGAGATGAGAAGTCCCCAGAAGAAAAAAAAAACCAACAACACAGGGGGATTGAGATCCCAATTCTTTTTATCCCACACAGCTGTTATTAAATCCTTGACTGGAAACTTACTCCATCCTTCCAGTGAGGCTGGCCTCCTGCACTCAAGGGAATAGGAGATCTACTTGTCCACAGAAAGAGACAGAAAGAAAGAGAGAGTGACAACACACAAAAGCAAGCCTGTGCTAATGACACCAAAGCTATTTAAGCAGAGGGGAGAAGAGAGGAGTCCTGGTTTTGCAGCTGCTTATGCATTTTCAATTTATGAATAATTCGGTAACATGTATAAACAATGTTAAGTTCTTAAGCAGCTTCAGTAGAAGAGAGAGGAAACAGCTTTCCATTATATCTCCCTCCATACTGTCTATGCCACAGAGGTTATTGTGCCTTCCTGGGGCTTGTGTCAGTTTTTATCTGTTTATCTACTATCTCCCTTTTTTCATAATAACAAGAACTCTGCTTCCAGAAATAGCAATAGAGCAAGATTCTAACAGAGAGCATAGTCGGCTGTGGAGAAAGAGTTGAAAGATGGTATAGGATGCACCTGCGTCACGTTCGCATGTGCTAAAACTAAAACACAGCTGCTTGGTTTAATTTTAGGCCTACTAGCCTTGGCAACATCCCTTTTATCTTCAATGCCTAATTATAAAGCCCTAAGTGCCAATACCGTTAACTGCTTCAGCACTGAATGCTGTTATTTCGCTACATCCATGAAAATGCATCCAGTAGACCGCCCTTACTTGGCACAGCACTCTAATTCTCTCCTCTTTGAGCACAGCTATTTCTTCATTACCACATAAAGAATCTAAACTGTAATAAGCATTTTTAATTGAGCTCAGTGCAACCCAGACCTGAGCAAGGCACAGAAAATGATGGGACATATATGAATGACAGAGAATTAAAACTTGAACTGTCATTTCTAATAATTCCATCTATAATTAACAAGCAGTAGAAAAACATTCAGGTGGTGTATAGTTTACTCAGCCTTTTTCAAGTTGCTCTTTAAAGTGATTTTGTTATTCATTTTCCTTCTATCAGATAATGTGCCAAAACCTCCAAAACAACAGCAGGTTTCGCAAACACACAAAAAAAATATTTGTGCAGAAACTTCAATTATTATTTTCTCAGCATAGTGAGAAAAGACATAACGCTTAGTTCTAAAACCTCATGGGCAAAAGCTTTTATTTCTTTTTAACTTATAAACTTTAAACAGTAGTTTTGTAAATATTTTTTAAAAAAGGAGAACACCAACAGAAAGTTCTATCTACAGTGTCTAAATTCTGGAGCTCTCATTCACAGGAGGCTACCAGTCCCATAGGTTTTAGCATCATCTGAATGGATTTAGTATTCCCGCCTCCATGAACTGCTTCTAAAGACAAATTACTATTTTCTCCTTCAAAGAAGTTTCTCATAAATATCCTCATAACCAACTCATTTTCTTTCAAAACTTTTCTTACAACTCTGTTCCCCCTCTGCATAAAGGACAGAACACCACCTATGAGGCCCACCAGCAATACCAGTCACATTATTTCCTTGTCAGTTTCCTCCAGTCTGTTTACATGCATCTTTCAGCCTTTGTTTTATATTTTGAAAGCTAATGCCTTGCGGCAGGGACAAATATGCTATGTTAATACTCTAAACTGTACAGTAACACTCATAAAATACAAGAGGGAAACAGTGAAAATGAGAATGCTAGCTGATAAAATCTTACTCTATCCCAGCAACAAGGTGAAAGAATCAATTCAATGCCATTGTGTCTGCATAAAGAAAAAAAATGAGGCAGACACTTATAAAATCTGGTCAGTAATTATCTGACACCATTAATTTAACTTCTATTTCCTATAAGTCTGTATGAAGGAGACACGTAAGCTTCTCTAGACAGTCATGTGAAGACAGAAGCTTTAACAGGAATGTATTTGGAAGCCACTAACTCTCAGCAAGTGCCCTTTCTTTGCATGGAATTCATTACCTACTGAAGTCGAACTCAACTACAGTACATTCATGTTTCCCAAAATCCCAGTGCTTCACTGATTTTTCAGCTACAACAGGATAAATGCCCACACTACAGTGAAGAGTATACTCAACTAACTGGCTTTTTAGAGGAGGGTAGGTCTACTGTATCATCAGCAGTGCCAGTACTGAATCCTGCCACTCCTGATTTTACTTTTGAACTTCAGCTCACAGTTCAAACTTTATCATTGATGATTAAAGCTTCAGTGAACCCTTTGTTGATGAAAAAGAATCTCAGTGGGTTCCACAAGGGAGTTCTGGATAGGGTCCTCAGCTTTTCTTAAGACTCAGAATGGCATCTTTGTAAACATTTTTCATCCTTGTACATCACTTCTGCCTATAAAGTAGACAGAGCAAAACTAAACAGCTGCTTGTTATAAGCACAGTTTCATCATACTAATATGCGCTGAAACTACTAGGCAGTCTTCCTTATATTTTCAAGGCACACGTGAAAAAGATTGCATGTCAAAGCACCAAAAAGCCTTGAAATGGACATATTTCCTTTTTGTGGTAAAAACTAAGGGCAGATACTGATCCATCAACGTGACAAACCCTTGAGAGGGGTTTGGGTGCCCTATTTTTCATAGAGCAAGGGTGCTTTCAAGAAACTTTGTTCCTGAGAATGCAAAGTTATCATACTAAGAAGAAAATGGAAAAATGTAGAGATACTCTAATGGAAATTAGTTTAGTTGGTGATGGGATATTATAATGGTTCTTAGATTAATATCTGAAGGATGATTGATTTGGATGTCTAAGAAAGTGGAAGTTCTGACTGGCCCTTTTCTTGCCACTGAAGAAGTTTCAGTATGATATTAACCCTGTTTTCCTCTACATAGTGGTATGTTCATGCTGCAGCTCAGTGAGGACATAAAGGCTGAAGTTTCACTATACCGTCTGAGTCAAATTAGGAACTCCCTTCCGCTGACAAGGGGGAGTCCTATTTCCCTCACCCATATCTTTGTCCCCACTTTTTGATGCACATTTCTGCCAATTACCTGGGACAGAGCTAACTCTGGGACCGGAATCACATAGGAGGCAAGTTCATTAAAACAAACAAATGTGTATTTATATAATTACAATCTAAGTTTTTATTATTATTACATACTATTAAATATAGGTACTATAATAAATTATAGGTTTTATATTACTGGTTCATGAACTGAATTAGATCACTTTGCAATCTCCTGTAAGCAGGGAATACAGAAAGGAACTGAGTAGCTGGAAGTAGGGGAGGAGTAAGGGTGGGAATAGGGGAAAGGGAAAAAGAAAATAGGAAGGAGGAAGAAAGAGCGACATCAAGGCAAGCTGTTAACTCAGTTCAGGTGAACATGAATCTGCTCCTTAAGAGAATACCTCTCCTCCAGCCTGCAAAAGTTTAATTATAGGAGCTTTCTATCTTCAGTCTGTCATCTCACTGGAAAACTTTACTGAAGCTGGCTAGCAAGTTTGGAAGTTATTGAGAAAAGAAAACCTGAAGGACAGAGTGTGGCCACATGACCTCATTTTCTCCAGGAAATGTTCTTATGAAATACAGTTATGTGGGAGACTGAAGCATGAGCTAGTTCGTATGTAGAACTGACACTGAACTGATTAAAATGGCTTATTTAAAGGTGGAAATAATCAATGCAGGTGAAGAGCCAGCAATGATACCTGCAGGGAACTCCTCTGTCAAACACAGTTAATGAAAGACTAATCTGAAAATGCAGGGAACAAATTCCATAGAAGGAGAAGGATTTTTTCCTTCCAGAGAAGGAAATGATGTTTAACACTGAGCTATGTACTAGCTCATGTTTCGTCACTTTAATGCCATCTTCTAGAGTAGAAAATTGAAGTAAACAATGCAGTTCCATCAGTCTTACACCATGAAACTAAGATGAGGAATGAGAACAAATGTATGTACAACAAAATTATATTCTTTCTGCTACAATGTCAGGAGTTACTGCCTGGTGGGGTTTTTTTGGAATTTAATGAAAATCAGAAAAATGCAATGTTTTGAAAATTTGTCACCATCTTTCAGTCATAGCTGTTATTTATGAATGAACTGAGCATTTCAATTGTAGTTTGCCATCACAATTTAATGGAACTGCAGTGAAATATTACCATGTATTATTTTGTAATGAAGAATGTACAAAGAGTAACTATAAATGACATACCATGCTAATGTCTATTGTCAGAAAAAAATAAATTACTCTGAAATTCAAATATTCAACCACTTATTTTCATGTATCTAGCAAACAAGAATTTTGTCTTTTTAATTCAAAAGATTACTCTTGTATAATGAAACATTTAAAGAGTAGAAATTGCTATATATCTTAATATTCCTCCATGCTATTCTGATTTGTCTCTAACAAGTGTATAACTGAATATGACTTACCTTGAAGTAGAGCCGCAATTTGGAGTGACTGCTGAGATGGATGTTCTTTAAGAATATCTAAAACCGTTCTACCCAAACTGTCCTTTATGTTGGTATCAATTCCTGAAAAAGAAAATGATCCGTGGTGGAATTTTTAACCCCAAGTACTTCTGATTATAAATGTGGTATATCAGACTCAATTATCTGGCAAATTGAATGCAAGCGGTTTTACAACTGTAGCAGATTAACAGCTGTGTTATAGTTGAAGTGCAGCATCCATTTCTGTTTAAAGCCTGAGTTGCCTAAAATTCACATGCTGACGTGGATTGTTTTTATGTTTCTGTAACTCACGGGGATATAAAGTAAGCTTCTTAAACCAAACTTGGGATTATTTTAACAGACTGTTCCTAAGAAACAGCCATTCTGAAAATAATATTTTATAAAATCAAGAACTCTCTGAGTGTTTTTCCTGCATTGCTGGATTCTAATTCTCCTCAAACTGCTCTGATTCATTGGGGATGTTCTAATCCATAGTACCAGTACATGTTTTGGGAGCAATACTGAAAAAGTTATTAACCTTAAAAATTTTGTACTTCATGGTGACATGTTCAAAATTCATGCTTTGAGTAGACTGAAATACCTATATGTAGTACAAGGGCTGTGTGAATATCCAGAGCATTTCCTCACAGGCTGTTCAGACTGTTGACAAAGTAATTGTTTGGCTCAAACTGGGAATGTAACCATAAATAAGTTTGAGGCTTATTCTGGATACGTCTCAGAGAACCTGTTGTACATGGTACTGCATGACTCTCCACCATTGTCTTGTAGGGGTTACATTGGAAATGCTTGAATTACGGTAGAAGACTGAAGTTGTTTTTAAGTTTAGATGTACTTTCATACAAAGTAAAGGCATGAAAGGTCCTAACAAACAGAATAAGATTCTTCTTGGGACGCTCAGTAGAGGAAATCAGAGGAAGCAGGATGTCTGAGGACATTCTGGAAGCATGGAAAGATTTCTCTGCTCACCAGAAAAGGCTGCAGTTCTTGTCATTTCCTGACATGATGGAGAGTTTCCTAATTTGTTTTGAGAGAAAGAGATATTTGTTTTGTCACTGAAAATAAAGCCAAAATACTGCTGGGTTAATTAGAAGTGGAAGCTGATTTTCAGAGACCAGAGACATCACCTTACACCTTCCCTTTGCAGTCTTTTTTAAAGGAGAACAAGAGGAAAGGGGATTGTTAGATAAAAAAGACAGAAGGTGGGGCATGTTGCAGAAGTGCAGAGCATTTGAGGTTGAAGGAGTTCACAGGGAAGACTCTACTCCACTCTGTTGTACAATGGTACTCTGGCAGAGGCTATAAAGTGTTCTAGTCTATAAGAGGTACTCTTTACCTGTAGTCTAAGGGCTTCCTATGTTTGTGTGATGTTCTCCAGTCCTTCCTCTTTTAGGTCAATTAATATAAAAAGGCCCTGCCTTTTTAAGGGCAGATGAAGACCCCTTTCTGCCTCCTTTTTATGCATCCAAACAGAAAAGCATCTTGGAAGGACCTTTTTTTTCTGAAAATGGATCTCAGATCGAGTATGCACTAGCTGAGATTCAGATGAAGAGCTGTGAGTAGGACATACCTTCTTTTGCAATATATAACCTCACAAGGACTGATAATGAAGATCAACAAAGACCCCTGAGTGTAATGGAAGTTCATGTATCTCAGAGAAGTCATTTCTAGATATTTTCATTTTCATTGATCTTCTCATTTATCTGAGAAGACAGTTGTTTAGATGAGTAATTCACCTGCAACAATTCTGAAACTCTTATTATGTAGTAGATGGGTTTGTTGGGACGCTGTATCCCTGTTCTCCAGTTCTTTCACAATAAATGCAATTCTCAGAGACACAGTGCCTTCCCCTTTCTTCACAGGCACTCAAAGTTTATCCAGGAAATAAAGGAGCAAGCAAGATCGTGTGTTTGTTAGGAAGAGCTAAGTGAAGGAAATAAATGTGAACATGAGTCTTCTGGCCTCTAGATCAAAGAATATTCTTGGCTGTCTTTCAGAACGAATAACGAAATTTTATGTAGCCATTTTGTTCTCAGAATACATTTATTCTCAGAATACAGGGGCATACACTGAGTCATATATGGAATTTCTGAGTCTTAGTGAAAACATTCCTTTTGTTCTCTGTGTATAGTAATTTCTTATTCTAAAAGAACGCTGTTTTAAGGAGAGGTACATGTGATTAGATTTGCAAAGGCTGAGAAAGATAACAGTAATTTGTATAACCAAAAGTTGAGGAGACAAACCCCAAATTAGGAATATTAAAGATATTTGTGCAGCGTTTCCTGTAAATTAGATTTACCTGTTTCAAGCAAAATGCGTACTACCTCCACCTTCCCAAATAGGGCTGCTTCATGTAGTGCACTCCCTTTTTCTGTCTAGAAAGAAAAAAATATTGTGACATTTAAAATGCCAATTAAAATACCAATAAACCCTTTTGAAAATAATACATTTGGAAAATAAGTATTTATTTTTTCCCCTCTATTTTATCTACACATAAAAAACATTGAATGGGCAAGAACAAATACTACCATAATTTTTTTTATTATTATTCAAGATAACAACATAAATGCTGTCAGTTCTACTATAAAAATTAATAACTATAGAAGAAAATACAGTAGGGATGTAATACAACTCCCATTTAACAAGCCTGCAATTGTGTAAAATTTCTAAACTGCTATTATAGGCAGTGAAAATCCAGTCAATACCGTCAGCGGAACACAGCTGTTCAGCAGAGTCAGCCAGTTTACATGTGGACAGCTACACTTAGGTGTTTTAATCTGCAACTGGATCATACATTAGAAGGTCAATGCAGTTGCACAGTGAGAGACGCCCTAGGATATCCCACCTGTCCTCCAGCTGATCTTCCAGTTAACGCTTACATTGCATCTGCATCATATCTGCCCCATACAGATGTCTTGGATACCCTAAGGCACCTCCAACAGCATTAGATGTCTACGTTTAGATTATTTAAATTCTACTTTAGATGTCAGTGAACCTGATTTTGCAGATTTCTGTGACGTAGAATTCATTGTGAATGGATTGTTACTCAAATAAAATTTACAGTACTGAAAAACAAACTACCTCTCTTAACAAGCTACTTTTGTGGTATTTTATACTGCTGTTACTGAGAAATCTGAACAGAATGCCTTTCCGTACGATAGCATTAGCACTAGCTACAGCACTACTAGATCTCACTGAATTTCTGACTCATCTCCTTTTTTTTTGATAGTAAATTAGATTTTGAGTGTTTTTTATTTGTGGGCAAATGTTAAAGGTTTTACTGCACGAATTTGGGTTTTCTATATTTTATCCAAATGCACCATTGTCATGCTTGCTATGGCAGAAAAACCTTAAAGACACACAAAAAAATTAACTCCAAAATAAAACAGTGATTCATTATTTATCAGCTGTATCAGTATGCACCAGTGTTACAGCGATGCAATGACAGGATACTTAGAAGTAATCAGAGATCCTGAGATGGGTTGTAAGCACACAGTAAGCGTACACATGTACTACCAATCGAGCCTGAAAACTCTTTGTTATGTCCATAATAGGAACACTCGCTTTTTATCTTTCTTCATACTTAGTACATGGACATATAAAGTAAAGCATGCCCAATGTCATTTACATCCAGCACATCAGGTATACTAACAGTATAATGGAGAGTCAGTAAGAGAATATATATATATGAAATACACACAATACATATCTCAAAACAATTTCTAATCTTTCCATTTTCAGAAGCAATCCAGATGAACATTCACAGACTTATTCTGAACAAGTAGACTAAATATTCAGATTTACTTATAGATGGTTTCAAAATCCTTTACGCAAACAGTATCTACAGGAGATTTCCAGTAACTGCAATAGACTTTAACATTGGCTAACTCTCCAATGACTTAGTGCAATCACAAAGGTACACACAGAGCTTAAGGTGAAGTTCAGAAACTTCTGAGAATGAAAAAAGGTCTCAGAAAAGTCACTGGTAGCTATAGTTATGATTATTTGAAAAAGGCTTGACATCAGCAATCTTGAAAAAGGCTTTGACACAGCCTGTTATGCTCTTTGGTATTTGTGTGGATTTCCTTTGGATTGGTGACTTGCTGACATGAATAAAACTCAAGACTATTGGGTGGACCTGGTACTATTAACAGTGTTCCCTGTCATCAAAGATGTGAAGTACAGCTTTGACTCCCAAAACATTTGACTTTGGAAAGGCAGGTGGTGAAATTCAAAAGCCACAATGGGGAGCAGTTTGACACAGTACCCTGCCAGAGAAGAATACCAAAATAGGAGCTCAGTCACAATTGATCACTCACCGTTTTGAGAAAAGATGAATGTCTTTCTCATATTTGAACATATTCACTACAGTTGACCATATCCTGTCATATTTGAACATGTGCCAGAAACGTGTCCTTGCAGCAAAAAAGCCAGCAGTATCCTGGACTGCACTTGGAGGAGTGTTGCCAGCAGGTCAAGTGAGGTAACCTTCCCTTCTATTCACCACTAGTGAGGCCACACCTGGAGGATTCCATCCAGCTCTGGGCTCCTCCAAACAAGACAGATACAGAGCTACTGGAGACAATCACTAAGATGATTAAAGAGTGGAGCATCTCTCCTATGATGAAAGGCTGAGAGAACTGGCACTGTTTAGCCTACACAGTGGGGGATCTCATTAATGTGTACAAGTATCTCAAGGAAGGGTGTAAAGAAACTGAGCCAGGCTGAGTGGTATCCAGTAACAGAAGAGGTAATGGGGAGAACCTGAAACACAGGAGGTTCTGTTTGAACAAAAGGAGACATTTTTTGCTGTGCAGGTGACTGAGCCCTGGTACAGGCTGTCCAGGAAGGTTGTAGTCTCAATCCTTGGAGATATTCAAAAGCTGTCTGGACACAGTCCTGGGCAACCTGTTCTAGGTGACCCTGCTTGAACAGGGGAGTTGGACCAGATGACCTCCAGAGTTCCATTCCAACCTCAACCCTTCTGTGATTCCATGAGAGATACACCAACAACAAAATCAACAGAGGTTCAAATGTTATAGGAGACCTGAGCACTAAATTTTCGTCCTGCTGAGGATGAACTGCAGATGGGAACCAGCCACACCTTGACTAGAATTGTAGAGATCATTCTGTATTAATATTAATAAGGATTCTTCTTTAATGGAAAAAATGGACATACTTTAGTGACAACAGCTATCTAGAATCCATTGCTGTGGCGTGATCTGAGACTGAATGTTAATGTTAGGGCATGGTGAATCAACAGCTTTGAACTCAACGAAGAGGATCTATCCTCAGACTCCTCAGTTAAGGGGTTGAAAAGATCCTGATATGGTAATTGTCAGAACTGGCAGCAGGGCCTTTCTATTGATCAAAATTCCCCACTGAAGGAAAGGCAAGTAATGCTTTCCCTGATGAAAGCATACGTCTCATAAGAAATGGAATGAAAACTAACATGAGAAGAGGAAATCCCCTGTAGATGTGTAAGGCAAACAAATCTATCTGGGGGCAACTTTAGAGCCAGAAGATAGTTCTGTGACAACAAACCAAAGCTCTGCTATGCATAAAGGGAGTAGAGAAATAAGCTCTAAGAAATTAAGCCACCTACATATATAATTCATAGCGTTGGGAGAGGAACCCAATGCCAAATGCCAGGTTTTTCATTTTATACTTTCTCGCTTCTGCATCTATTCTACTGTGCTATTTCCTGTCATACCTGAACATGATCCTGAAAGGCTTTACAGGCATTCTGCACTGCCCTGAATTCTGGGGCAGCCTTTACTTTACAACTCCAAGCTATCAGACAATACTAATGAATGCCATATCCCAGAAATGAGGTATATATTGCAAACAGTCTGTTCAAAAGAGGAATTTGAAAGTGGGCTGATTTGTCCACTATATAGGTGATTTTCTGAGCAAGAGGGGACATATTACCATGAAACTGAAAGAAAATCAGTCTGGGAATACGGAAATTGAAAGCACACTCGTAAGATGCAGATGTGTAATCCTGCATGAGATGTCATGAAGATGAATGCTGACGTAAATCTTAAAAGCTCTAGGCAGGATTTCATGGTAATAGTGAATAATTAACAAGTGAATCAGATCCCTCGACCCAAAAACTGTCCAGAAGGCAGAAATGTCCTTGTTACCAGACAGTTCAGTTACCAAACTCCATTTTAACATAAGGAAAAAGCTGAGCCTCAGGATGAACAGGGCCAAGAGAAACTTGGAGGACTGGCTGAGTAGATGTATCTCTCTTTGCAAATGTACATGTGGACTACTACTTGAAGATAGAAATAATGTTGTGGCTTTGGTTTTATTTTTCTGGTGCAATAGAGCATGTTACACAAATTGGAAGGATTAAAAAATGTAGTTGCAAAGAATTTCTATGTATTATTTAAGATGTACTAGAGCTTTTAGGTAGATATTTTTCACTTATAATGGTGTACCTATGTGCTAATATACTCTTGTTGCTTATACTACAGCAAGCAAACTTATGATTTATAGACAATATTCACTGCTTTACTTCCTGAAGCTTTCATTGCCTTTGATCATATTTTCCTGGCAAAGTGAACACGACCATTATATTTGGAAATTCTTCCACAGTGATATTTAATGCAAAAAATGATGGTATTTTTACATGAACACAGTGAGCTAAAGTCTACTTGAGTTTGCATCAATGGATTAGATATTGACTCCCTGGTATAAGTTTTCTTTGTATCGAATATAGAGAACTATAGCACAAATTGTGCTAAGCATATAATAAAACAGCCCCTGCCCCAAGTAGCTTACACCTAAATACAGGTACAATGTCACAACTGGACACACAAAGCAAGCAAGAATAGAAGGACATTGTCAGTAGGAACGCCAGCATACACAAATCAACTTGGTGAACAATTTGCAGGCTCACATAACAGTATCAAGGGTTTTATTAATTAGAGCTTTTTTTTAACCATGTAAATATGCAAGAGCTTGTAATTAGGTCACTTGTCTAGTCCTTATTCATAGGCAGTTTACTATAGTTTTGATATGGATTTCTGACATAATCTGGAAGACAGAATGGTAGCTTTGCAAATTGATTCACAGAATATCCTCCATACATAGTGACAGCAAAAAGGAAGGGGCATAGCTCTTTGCAGAACTACAGTGATAAGCAATGGAAATTGCCATCATTACTGGAACAGACAGGGAAGGCAAATAGGGATAGATGAAAGCTGGATAAGCAGAAGGGGCCAAGTTTTTAAGGTATTTACAATTATGAAATTACTGTTTACATGAAACACACTGAACTGTGCAGTATCTTATTTTACTGAGGGCCCAAAATCTATCACTCACCCAAAACCTGTGTATTTTTCATATGTTTCAATTTAAATGAAAACTTCAAAGCATAAAGAGATGAAGCAGATTTGTATTGCCCACTTCTAAATAATTTCATATTGAAGGATATTGGATAGACCTGGGAAATGAATAAAATGTGTGATTAATTCAATCAAAAATTAAATGCTAGTCCAAATATTTGCTATGATTAAAAGTGCTTAGGGAGTACAGAAAAGAGACATAACATGGCTAAAGTAAACTTCCCATTTAAACAAATAAATATTTACAATTACAGAGTGATAGCAGATAGGCTACTTCTATAATTGTCTCTCAACATTCTGAAAGCTCTTTACGGCTGATAAGCTGAATTTATTTAACGTGTATGAATGTGTACAATTTTATTTACCACATGGGATTATACTTTGTATGTTGTTCTTTCCCAATCAGTGATGCAGAGCAATTTAATTAATATTAAAAGAGCTGAGTTCAGTTTTAAGTAACAGCCTGATATTGTATGCTCTGCTCAGTTTAATAAGCTGCCAGTTATCATCAACAAAGAATTTTTCAGAGGTTATAGAAATAATAAGTTCATAATATGTACAGAGCCAAACTGCCAATATGCTAAAATGCTGAATGAAAAGGAACATATTGATGGAGAGTTTGTATACCAGTGAGAAAATATGATCTTTCCTTATGGCAAGTAGAACGAACAAAGAAGAAACAAGATTTCCCAGTGCAAAAAAAATACAATAAAATAATCCCCCCGACCCAAGAATAACTAAGAAAAATAAGAATATAAATTACTTAAAACATATTAGAATTTCAAAAAAAGAGAAAAAACTCCTAGAATTTTAGTGTAGATGGTAAACAGATGACTATTACTAAAAGAACCTCTCATTTCTTAAAAGAAGATTATACAAAATTTGCAGCCACTATATTTTTTAAAGACCAGCAAAAAACTTTTGGTATAACTATAGATAGAAATGGCTTAGGAGAATTCACAGTAGTGCTAAAATTATCTAGATTACATAAGAGGAAGAACACATTTCATAAAAGCATTGTGTAATATTCAACCCTCATGTAACCATCAGTTTGTAAGTTGCCATGACAGAGACTATTTTTCTTCAATTATTCTATTCCTTAAGTACCAATGCAGGCATTAGTTCAGCTTCTTTCTGACTTTTTCCTCATTCATTTGCTACGGATAGAAGAGAAATTATACATTCAGAAACAGGTATTCAAGGGTTCCATTATGTGTTGCTTTAGCATTAACCTTTCCTAAATTACTGAAGATGTAGTAATAGTAAAGGACAGCTGAAACAAAAGAGCTGCTCGTAGTAACCTTTGCAAGGGTATCACTTTCTAGAAAAGAAAATCAAAAGCAAATTAAATTGGAGGCATAATGGTAGGCAAATACATAAGTAAGTAAACCACAGGAAAAAAAGTGTTTCAGTCTGAAATAGTTTGAAGCAAGTAACAATACTAACTCAAAAGATACTAGAGCTAATAAATGTAGCAAAACAATTTTACCACATTTTCATTTTGAAGGCATTTCAGAGTATCTATTTTTAATCTTAAAATATGTTAATATTTTCTGGTTTGCTTTGTTGTGTTGTTGTGGGGTTTTTTTAATCTATCTTTTCTTTCCCGTTTCACATTCTTTTCCGCAAGAGTTGAAAAACGTGACCTTGATGGAAGAATCCGAAAATAACAAAAGTGGATGGAATCCAGGTGGAATCTTTCTATATAAAAGGGAATTATGTGTGCAAAGGTGTTTGATTAAATGTACCTAAAGCTTAAAATGGTTATAAAACTTAGTCAAAGTTTAGGCAAAGTACACAAGATTTATTAAATCACCTATTGGTAAAAATGCCTGGATGTGACTCTAAAATAGATATAATTATGTTTGGTTGGTTGGTTTATCTGAAAATAGACATAAAGCTGAAACAACCTTAATTTGAAGCATATTATAGGTACTCAGATAGCAAGAAGGCTACTTTAAATCTGAAAATAAAATACACTTTAAACTCAAATACAGTGTCGTCAACCAAATCAAGAGAAATCATAAGACTGAGGCAAGATTTCACACATAACAGAATCAGGTCCTCTGTAGTTAAAAGGCTTGGACACTCTCCACTAGAAAGAGCTGGACATAAAATTTACTGCTGCTGTACCTTGTATCTGTTCCTGTCTATGTCTCTCTTGTTTAAACTTACCCCTTTTACACCATTATAATTTACTGTGCATAGAACTAGATGCACCAAACAGCTAACAGGTTGGAGTCAGTAGCTGCAAGTGTGTATTGTTACAGAATTTTCTTTTAGGTTTACACAAGTGTTTAGAAAATCAGAAAAATAAAATTATTATTACTTAATAACTTTGGGTTTAGAATGGGATAACCCTGGGAAATGAGTCCAACATTGTTTCAGGTTGCTGTGACCATTAAGGGCCATAGCTTTAGCAAGTCAGCTTAGTATGATTAAAACCAATGTTGTAAAAAACCTTTATATATATATATATATATAAATATACACACCTACATGAATGGTTGATGTGATTTACGTATCTAAATGTCTCAAGACAACATTAAAATATACACTCAGCTTTGAAGATGTATCTTTCTTGAGTTATCCCTTTGAGCACATCATTTGGGTCCTAAGAAATAAATCTGTATTTTCTATCACCTTGCAGCATTTCTAAAAAAGTAAATGCAACTGTATTTTAAAAGAAAAAATGTAAGAAGTTATTTCATTTGTATTATATTCTAATGATAAGTGAAAGTAAGGAAAGAAAGGAAGAAAGGAGGAAAGGAGGAAAGGAAGAAGGGAAGAAAGAAATTACACACTAACTTGGCAGCTGACATCCATTCCAGCTTCCAGAAGCACCTGTACAACAGCTTTGTGGCCATTACGTGCAGCAAGATGCAAAGGAGTGTGTTTTCTTGTATTACAGTTCATCAGGTTTGGATATGCTTTGATGATCATTTTTACAACGCGCAGCCGTCCATAAAGTGCTGCCAGATCCAGAGGTGTTTCTAGTTTGTTGTTCCTTATTGTAGGGTCTGTTAGCTCTTCTAACAGAACAGCAACCACTTCTGAATGGCCATATTGAGCTGCACAATGCAGTGCTGTTTCGTTTTCATTGTTCTGTTAAAACAAAACAAAAGCTTCAGAAATTCATGTTTAGTGACACAATAGAACTGCTCGGTTTCTATAAATTGCCTCCATGAGATCACTACACAGGCAGGGTTTACAATATAATGTATGGTAATGTATGTTAAATGCTTCAGAATAATTCCACTCAAATTTTACTAATAATACATTAATACTTCAGCTTTGTGGCTCTCAAGCAGATCAGGTCCCTATGCGTCTACATTTTTCCCAATCCATTTTTAAAAACATGCCCCAAAACCCCTTGTTGGTCATGCTATGTGATATGCCAAAATACGTAACCGTCTTGATTCAACTGTCCCTGAAATCCTAGTTGAGTCCTTCTCTTAGAAATACTCTGGCACTTACTTATCTTAAGTCTCTCTTCTCAGTATAACTGGTTTTAAATCATAGCAGTTTGTTATTAGAGTAATGAAATTACAGAGAAAAACTGTGTAATGAAAAAGTATCAGGTACAAGGTTAGTTTCACCTATCACTATAAAAGTTACTACCAAGATAACAATCAAAGCTTGGAAGAAGGAAAAATAGCAACTGTAGAAATACAGACTCAGTATATCACATAAGCAGCTAGTCTTTTCAGGGCTCCAGGAAGATGTACATGTGCATTTTAAGGCATATGAGCATTTGTATGCTGTGGATTAAATAAGTTTTTGATTTATAAAGCAATGCCCCCCAAGTCTTTTCCCAAACACTATTTAATAATCTTAATAATAAATAAATACTGAGAATAAGAAGTATCTTCTTTAATTGTTTTCTTCCAGTTCTGCCTGTATACTTGCAATCCCAAACAGACAAATAACTTTGGACAAAGAGGAAGGAAATAATTTATAGAGTTCTCTGAATTCTATATGCCATCTATATTACTAATATATATTATGTAGTCTCTATGAAGCCTTAAAATAGACTAGACGCTATAAATATTAAAAGTATGTCCATCGACTGCCTCTTCTGATATATGATATATATTGTGACAGTTTTGAAAATGTTGTAAAAGTAGAAAGCCAATAAGCTAATGTGTCATATGAAGAAATAAAAAATTAATGTAAATGCAGAAAAGATACTGGAGAAGGGTAGAAACAGAATTCTAAAGAAAGGAGAAGAGATAAATCTGAATCCATAGGCTGTATTTCTCAAAGAAACAACTGAAGAAAGTTGTGGGGACAGAGAACTGAAAATAGAAAAAAGGATTTGCCTTTTGAAAGACAGAAACGGTGAGAGAATCAGAGAAATGAGGCTTTGGCCTCTTACTGAAAAGCTTGCTAGGATAACAAAATCCATGCCACACAGTAATATCTAGAAAGGGGGAAAGGGAGAAAGGGGGACAACTTTTTCTTTTTTGTTAACTGTTTCTAATTCTATGATCAAGAAAACTTAAATCTTGGGTTTGTGATTTTAACAACATTGCTTGCATTTTCACCTCATCTTATAATTTAAAACAACTCAGATGAACCTGGAAGACAGAGGAAAGAGATGAATACATTCAGATAAATTAACGTTGCAGATAAACTCTTCAGGTGTCTGCAACACCACACAAGGTCCCAGGGACTGGAATGTGTTTCCTGCTAAACTGCGAGACAGAAGCTGGAAAGTAGGAACAGCCAGGTAGAAAATGAGAAGTTTCCATTGGCAGACATGGCTTGATGACTAATAAATATTTGAATCATTGTGCATTATTCAGACCACTACATGGTCTTTCTCTATTACAAAACCCATAAATTCAGGCTAAAATATGTACTATCACAATACTATATGGCTGCAGTGATCTATCAACTACCTGGGATATGCTTTTTTTGCCCTAGTGACTTCTAACGTATTCTTTATACAGGACTGGGCAAAGCAATTTTTTTATGTACAGTGGTATACCCACAAATCACAAGCATAGTGTATTAGAATTTATTTTTATATTTTCAGTATTTCATGGACAGAACTGCATAGATGAATAGGCGATTTCAGTCTAATTTTGTGTACAATTACCACAATTAAGTATGAAAATCAGATAATTGCACATAAAGTGACCAATTATGGTAATTTGTGCCTACACTTACTGTATTTCCATATCAAATGGAAATAGTTACACAAAGAAATTAGATGTATAACTATATCCACATTCTATGAGGTAAATAGTAAAATACACGTTTACTATCCTGTTGTCAAACAGATATATCTATCTATCTAATATCTGCTTATGTTTGTATTTTTTCAAGCATTTCTGAATAATACGTAAAGCATCTTGAATCTTGTACCAATAGTCTAATATTGTAGTTTAAAAGTATTGTGATTAAATTTTCAGAGAGACGTAAAAATTAAATTGGCTATGGCCTTTTTCTCAAAACTTGGTGACTGGCGAAAATTTCAGCCACAGATACAGACACAGAGACACTAACCATTCCAAATCACTGCTGCTGCTCATCAGACTGAAATTTGCTCCCTCTAAATAAGGAATAGCCAGCTAAATTTGCATGCATATTTACAGAAAAGTGTATTTTAAAACAGCACGGTGCATAAAAGCATCTGTAAATCTTAACAAAATGTCATTATTTTCAAATGAACATTGTTGAACATTTTTGTATGGTTTGTTTCTTTGCATTTGCCAAATTAATGCTCCACTTCAGTTAATGACAAATCAAACTGATTCAAAATTGAAAAGAACTAGGTATCACCGAAATAAAATAGAAGCAGCCAACCTGGACATGATAATTAAACATGATAATTAAACATGATAATTAAATTACCTACACATACACAGTCAGAACTGGGATTGCATATATTGTGTTATCAGAGCTGAGAGGTACTACCTAATTAAAACTTAATAATACAACATCCTTCCCTCTTTAAAATGTAAATTAATCAACTCAATTCAGGTATAAAAGACAGAATGATTTTTAACTTTCAAAGAGCGAATTACAACTTGCTTAACTGTCCTCTAAATTTATCCACTTTGACAATTTACTACTACTTACATAAAATAAATCACCTTGGAAGCAAGAGGTTTTACAGAGAAGAGAGGACAGAGTTTTTAAGTAGGTTTTGACAGAGTCTGTCATCTTCAAATTTAGGAAAGGAGGAAATGTCTACCGGATAGACACGGTTGGTTCAGCATTTCCAAAGAGAACCCTAAGGTGGAGGAGGCCATAGAAATGTATTTCCTGGACTGGAAGAAACATTATCTTCCTCTTCTTACCCCTTATGGAAAGATGGACGTGGATGTCTCAGTCAGTGTTATGAACCTCGTCCTTAACTTACTTGTTTATAGAAGACACATAGTAAGAATAATTAAAAACAAACAAACAAACAAACAACTTATAATGATATTTTAAGAGTTGAAGTTATGTGATTTCCTTCATTCCCAAAATGCTGTTACTTCTGACTTGCCTTATGCAGACAAAGCTAACCCTGGTGTAACTCTATTGATTTTAAGATATTGTTTGTACTCATATCTCTAAAATAGCTTATTATTTCAAAGCAATATTTGAAAGACATGTAAAATTATTCTTGAAGAAATTAATAATAATAATTTAGTATTATTGCCTACATTTTGAGTCCCAAATGTAAACAGCTGTTTCTAGAGTACAGCAAGTTTATGCGCTAAAAGTCATTGGTGTGAGCAGTTAACCTGCTATGAAAATACAAATGTATGCATGCAAGTTACCATTGTGTGATTAGATCTCCAAATCTGGCATCCAAGGACTAAATAATGCATGTAGTTGTGAAGCAACAGACTAGAATGCTTCTGGAAATTTCAGATACTTCATTACAAGTTAGAAACTACAAGACAGATCCTAAGACTGACTGAGTCAAGAAAAAGAAAGACCTAGAAAACAGAACCAAGTAAAACATACAAAAAGTAAGACAAAAAGAGAAGAGCAGGCCAATATTATGCGAAAATAGTATAAAACAGAAGTCCTTAATATCCATCATTAATAATATTTTAAACAAGTAGTTATTCATATAGAATAACTCTTTCAGAAATAAGAAAGGCATCTTATGATTCAGCTTTTAACCTTTTGTAATTTTCTTCTTCATTGTTACATGGGTCTCTTCATGGGCATGGCCCTGACATTTTCTAGCCTTTCTCTGAATCTGTTCTCCTGGACATACAGCCAGAACTCAGACTTCTGTTGCTGAAAAATGAATTGTGCTTTCGCAGCATTGCATCTGGTCAGTACTACAGGCTGTACTACATCATTTAGCTACAAGAATGCATGCAACCACAAAATCTAGAACATCTCATAAGGCCTATTCATTAGAGGACAGATTAGGAAATATGTTATAGAGACAATTACTGTAGGTTGGCCGTCCGATAGAGAAGACGTACGGGAAATATCAAGAGAATGAATGGCTCTCATGAATATTATATAAGTCCTTGTAAAGCCACTATGAAACAGTGGCTATGTTTAGGACTTTTACTGCACAGTTCTGTAGTTTAAAGCTTCTAAAGTCCACGCAAGTACTGTACAAGCGATAATGACTATCAAGTAGTGATTTTACAGACCTTTCCAAAGAATGCTCAACTCCTTTATTATCTTAGCATTTTTATGATGAACTTGAAAAGGGAGACTTACTAAATCACTGAGCCATTTCTTTGTCACATAATCCCAATGTCAACTAACTGAACAAGGCAATATATACAAGACAGACAAAGGAATGATCTCAGGATGGTCTTACTGCATCTGTTAAAACAGGAGGGCAGTTTCCTGAGAAGTTCCATGAATATAAGTTAATAATTCTGAAAAAAAAAAGACGTTTGCCTGATTGATTCAGCGAGTAGCATGTCACTGTATTTAATTACAAGGGGAAGCAAAGTGCTTTCCTGGATGTCTAGGGCAAAGGCTGAACAATGTTACAACAGAAACTCTAAACACAGCCAAGAATGAGGAATGCTCTTGGGAACAACTTGTGACTTTATTGTCCCTTTTCGTTGAGGAAGGGAATGGGTTTTTACATGGTGCACAGATTTTTACAGCTTATGTGGAAA